CTCTCCTCTCCTCTCCTCTCCTCTCCTCTCCTCTCCTCTCCTCTCCTTCCCTCTCCTCCTCTCCTTCTCTCCTCCTCCTCCTCTCTCTCTTTCTCTCTCTCTCTCTCTCTCTGAGACAGAGTATCAGTCTGTCACTTAGGCTGGAGTGGAATGGCCCAGTCATAGCTCACTCTGATCTTGAACACCTGAGCTCAAGCAAGCCTTCCGCCGTAGCCTCCCAAAATGTTGGGCTTATGGGCACGAGCCACTGTGCCCAGCCCCCTTTTTCTTAACTAATTTTTTAAAAAGACATCCTAAGCTCTATTACTTCTGTTACAAGTTACTAGTTTTTTCTCTTTCCCCAGAAGCATTGACTTAGATTTAACCTTCTCCAACAGTCCTATTTCTTCTTCTCTTTTGTATAATTCAGCATTTGCCAAACTCTGTTCTGAGGAATGCTAGTTCCATTAAGATGCTCTGTCAGAAAAAAGAGCTCTGTGCCCCAATGAGTTTGAAGAATGCTGTATACTGTACCCCTCTCTGAGGCTCATAATGTATACTGGCATATTAAAAAAAAAAACCAAGGGTTTTCCACACGCATTTGACTGTAGAGCCTTCTTTGATGGTTATTGTATATAGAGTAGGTGTTTTGTGAAGCTTGTTTTGGGAAACACTGTTCTAATACCAGACATTGTCCTTTGCTGAAATTTAAGTGTATAATCTTATTTTCCCTCTTTTTGTTGTTTCAAGTGGACCATGATCTGTATATATTTGGCTGGCTCGGAAAATGTTAATTCAGGTTTAGGCATAGATTTTCCTTTTAATTTTTCTTTTGTAAAAGAAATATATTTATTATAGAACATTTAGAATATACAGATGAGCAACAAGTCATGTATAATTTTAGTACATAGTGGTAATCATTGTAAAACTTTGGACAATATACCTCTCTTCTTTAGAATATATGTCTCATTGCAAAAGACATTGTGGCACAAAAGTCTCTATATTCCTTAGTTTAAATCATTTTAGCAAATGTTTATTTATTTATACCTATGTATATATTTTTTTGAGTTGGCGTTTTGCCCATTGACCAGGCTGCAGTACAATGGTGCAGTCTCGGCTCACTGCAACCTCCACCTCCTGGGTTCAAGCAATTCCTCTGCCTCAGCCTCCCGAATAGCTGGGATTACAGGCACTGTAACCACACCCAGGTAATTTTTGTATTTTTAATAGAGACGAGTTTTCACCATGTTGGCCAGGCTGGTCTTGAACTCCTGACCTCAGATGATCTGCCCCTGTTGGCCCCCCAAAGTGCTGGGATTACAGGCATGAGCCACCACGCCCAGCCAAATGTTTATGTTTTATATAGCTAATCGCCACAAGTCTGTAGCTAAGACCAAGATTACAGTAGCTCAATGTATAGAACTTACAGAGAAGTCAATTTTGTAACTTTGCATTTTGGCTTTGATTCTTGGCTATGTTGCTTAAAAGATTTTATGGGTTGATGGGTACCATAAAATCTTTTGCCTGCCCACCTCCATTCCTATCTGATAGGAATGTTTAAATTGGATGCAAGTCTTTTGGCTCTAAGTCGATGTCCATAAGGGTCCCACCAAGGGACAGGACGGACAGGGGCAGGCAGGCACACTACCCTGGCAAAGATACAGGACAAAATAAAAGTTTGGCCATCGATGCTGCCCCTGGCAGATCTTGTCCAACAGGGTGAGAATGTAAACTAAAAATAAAATTCTAAGTCCCCCAGTGGACTGAACAGGCCATCTGTTGGCCAAGGAGACCCCTGATTAACTTTGAAAATGGAGTTCTCAGCCATGATGGGATGGGAGGGGTGAGACTCCCTCCCTTGGTAACCATGATTAAGCTTTCCTCCCCTAGGTTTTAACAAAAGCTAGCTCTTTCAAAAGACTCCACCACAGATATCAACAAACTGTCTGACACTGCCCTTCCGTTTTTGCCTGATAAGAGACCACCGACCATAGGAGTGGTTCTGGCTAGTCTTTCGAGAATGCGCAGTAAGGGGTTTCACGGCCTCTGTTTCACCTTTTGACGTCAGAGGACTGAAAACTCCACCCTCTGATTACCTCAATTTTTGAATTTGGAGAGCAAGAACTTCAATTGCATATGTGCACGTTTCTCTTTCATAAATATACATGACTTCTTCTATAGCTTATTGAATATGTACATTTGGCCACCTTGATTAGCATAAATTCCTGTTTCCTTTGCCCCTCTCTCAAAGTATCTGTTTCTGGCTTCTGGCTGAAAGCCGTGCTTCCTAGCCTGTCAGAATAGCCACACTGCAGATCGTAACCTTTATAAGAAATAAAGTTTTCTCGTCTTTTAAACAAACAAACAAACAAACAATACCTTAGTTGGACATGGGAGTTTGTGACTGTAATCCCAGCTTTGCAGGAGGATTACTTGAGCCCAGAAATTTGAGGCCAGCCTGGGCAACATGGTGAGAACCATCTCATTAAAAACAAAAAAGAAATTTATGTCTCAACCTAACTTAAAACAATATTGAACAAATTTTTCTATGTCACGAACTGTTCTACAATATAAAGTGGATCAATGATATTCTATTTTTGATTTATTTTTTAAAAAGAGTTCCCTGTTGTCGGATGTCTATGTTTTCCCAATTCCTCATATAAATAACCCCCTGCTATGGTTATCTCTGTAGTCGTGTAACACAGCAGTTACAAATATAGACTCTGGTTTCAAATCTTGGCTCTAGTACTTATTGTGTGACCATGGGCAAGTTAATTAATCGCCCAGATCTCACTTTTGTCAACCGTGAAATGAGGCTAATAAGAGTACCAGTCTTGCTGGCTTGTTAAGAAGATTAAGGAATAAAGTGCTTAAAACAGTGACAGCACATATATTACCGCTGTTGAATCCTTGTGCACATTCATGATTATTTGTGTAAAAGTAATTTCTACAAGTAGAATTGCTGATTTGAACAGCCTGTAGAATAATAATAGTAACTATTCCTTAGATATTGTGAGATCCTGGCACATAGTATTCTATAAGCATTAGCTATGATGATGATGATGATGTGCTAAACACTGTGCTAGGTTCAGGAATATGGCAGGAGATAAAAGGACCAAAGTCTTGCCCTTAATGAAGCTTGTATTTGCATGTTATTGAACGGCTACATCAAATTCCAGGGTATTTAAATGGCTAACTTCTAAAAACTAAATTGGAAAGGTGAGGCAGGGAGGAAGGGGGCCTGCATTGATATTTTATTGATCTGAGTGAGTTTAATGGGAACGAGAGAGAGGCTGGGTGTACTTACGGAGGCCTGAGCTAAAGCA